TAGTTTCATATTTACCGTGCAAACACAAGAGAGAGATACTGATCTCTTTACAAGAAAGCAAATATCAAGCTTTAAGGCGCTACGTTTCAGCAGGACATTTACAGAGCTATCAATGATCATTTCATGTTGTTTTTCTTTTGTGTTATACTCCCAATCTCTTCCAAATTGAAAGTGAATTTGAGAGACTGTGAGAGGGAGGGAAATCACAGGAGAGCTTTTTTAATCAAATCTGACTGAAGAGCTTCAGCTGTGGGGCTCAGGTGGAACACACACACACACACACACACACACACACACACACACACACACACACACACACACACACACACACACACACACACACACACACACACACACACACACACACACACACACACACACACACACACACACACACACACACACACACACACACACACACACACACACACACACTCTCTATGATCTCTCCATTTTTTGTTTTCACTCCACCCATACATCCATCCATCCGTTCATTTCCACTGCTTCTATCTTCCCAAAGTGACCTTAATCTGATGCTCACAACCAGCGCTGCAACTAACCATCATTTCCACGCATTCTGCAGGTATTCAATTAACAATACCATTGATTTAATTAATAGTTTGGTATTTAAATGTCATAAGTCCGTCCGAGTCACTCAAATATCTTTAAATGTCTTGTTTTGTAAGTCCAAGACCAAAGGATATTCACGTTTATATAGATGTCAAATGGAGAAAATCAGCAAATATTTACATTTGAGGGGCTAAAAACTGCTTTTTGGAACATTTATTGGCACAGAAAATGACTTTCAACGATGAATTGACCATCAAAACATGATATACGAGAGAAAAAGCAGCAAATACTTAGATTTTAGATGCTAATAAGTGGTTTTTTTTGACAGTTTTGCATGAAAGATATCTCTCCTGAATATTTGATAATCCAAAATGTATTGACTGATAGTTGCATCTCCTGCTCCTCTTTCTGCAACAACACACACACACACACCAGCTGACGTCCCTGTCTCTCAGCATCAGCATCACTCTGGAGTGAAAAGGCCTTTGTTGATGTTTCTGTATTACCGTGTGGATCTCTGATCATCGTTCTCCACCTGAAGAAGGCCACAGAGAGAGAAGCTTCTCTCGACTTCAACGTGTTCAAATGCATGTAAAATACGTTAGTTTGCCTTCACCATTTACATTTACATCGGACAACCTCACCGGGTTTATGTCAAATACCAGTTGTCCGTGTACAGGAGGTAGTGTGTTGTTTCGCAGTAAGGATGGATGGATGGACGTGCAGGACACCAGAAGTTAAAGACCAATATCAAAAATGTGAGCTCTTTCTTGTGACCCTAAGTGTTACTCATCAAAACACCCTGAGGTTTTTTTTATGTTTTCTCCCTTTAAAAAGTCTGTTTGCCATTTCCATCAAAGAGCAGCTTCGATCGGTTGTTCGCTCTTTGAAATGTCCCAAAAATGCAAAAATATGTCAATGAGTGCTTTCCTAAAAGCCCAGGGTGACGTCAATATGTTCATTCAAGCTTCAGATAAAAGATAAGAAACCAGAAAATACGCACATCTGTTACTTTACATTATACCGTAGGGGATGAAGGAGGTAACGAGATTCAACACGAAGCTAAAATAAGAGAATTTGGACCCATTAGTCGAGCATCCCAGAAATTGCCGATTTGACGATGAATGGTTTAATCCTTGCAGCTCTTAAACCATGATGTCTTCCACACAGACAGATATGGACTGATCTCCTTAGACTCTCAGATAATCAATCACCTGTATCTGAAACACACCTTTTTAAATCAATGTGTTGTTGCACCACAACGCCTCTCTAATGGAATAAAGCTAACTGAAGACCAGAGGAAGAGGGGGGACGAAGATCCAGATGTGTTCAGGGTCACCTCCTCACCTGCTTCGTTCTACAGACTCAACCTCCCTTCAGTTCTTATCCAAAGAGATCTGGGATCAGTTTACAACACTGGGACCATCTGGGAGTCCGGATCAATCCCTGACCTCTCAGCAGCTCTCAGGGGAAATGTGTTATTATTATTAGAATGGATTGAGCCGGTCGGTGTTCGCTTTAATGTCAGCGTTGGAGGCAGCGAGGCTTTTTCCTGTTAGTGAGACACGTTCAGGTGTTACAGGGGAGATGGCTGTGGGGAAACTGGGAATCATTTTAATTAATTTTCTGTTTGTCAGTTTCATATATATTTGGGATGTTTTTGCTTAATATGTTTTTTAGAATTATTTATTTTTATTCAAGTAAAAAATAAATTATTTTCCGATTCTTTAAATAATCTTAAGAGTTTTTATTTATTTTCAGTTTCATATATTTTTGGGTTTTTTTTTTAATATATTTTTTATAATTATTATTATTAATTTTTTGTTTTCGAATTTGTTAAATAATTTTTATGTATTTTCAGATTTTGTATGATATCATTTTTTGGGCCGATTTTTATTATTATTTCTGTATTTATTTTTGTATATTTGTATCAATATAAAAGAAAACTGCTTCACATTTATGAAATACAATAAGGCCTGTTTCTTCAATGTTCTATGTATACTGTATGTAAGAACAAAGCACGACAAAATACAAAATTCAAATTACAAAATAAACAAAATAAATAATAGCTTGGAGAAAATGACTGCATTAGTGAAAACTTGTAAAATCATGGATTCAGACAAAGATGGGAAGCGAACCCAGTGTCCGGCAGCGTTAGTGCCAAACTGATTTTAAATGGTTAGCTTAGCTTAGCATAAAGGTCAAAGACTCGTTATGAGATGATCGGCCCCTTTGAGTCTCTGTAGTTCAAAATGAAAAGCCTCAAATCATGAAGTACTTCCAAATTTGTTGAGCGTTTTCCAACAAATGTCCAACAACACGTGCCGATTATTGCTTAAAGGGGACCTATCATGCAAAATGCACTTTTTGATGTCTTTTCTACATAACTATGTGTCCCCGGTGTGTCGGGGAACTCACGCAGCGTCAGAAAATAAAACCCTCTCTCTTTTCCTCCGTACCCAAATCTCTAAAAACGGGGGAACAACGGAGCTGATCCAGATTTGCGTCCGATATGACGTAATATCTGAAATGTGGACCCACGGCCCAATCAGAAACGTTGCTATCAGAAACAATGCCCGACTGTTTTGGACGTAATATGGTCGGTGTTTACATTAGCATGGCTAACACTCAGAGCTAACCTGTACTGGAGAGCATGTGTGTGAAGAAGCAGGAAATAAAAAGGAACTCACCTTGTGGTATAACCGGCAAGAGAGAAAGCCTTTGAGCTCCATACTGTTTCAGAGAGAATCCTTGATAATCCATGATATGGCGTTTCATCACTGCAGTATTTAGTTTAGACAGTAGCTGCCGGGTCCCGCATGAGCTCAGACCCCTCCCTTTTAAAGCTTTATACCCCAAATCAGCACTTTTGAAACAGGAAGTGAAATAGAGGGATATGAGGCATGGCTAGAATGGGTGATCTGTTTGGTATTTTGAGCAAAACACTTCAGACATGTTTTGTATATATTTGTATATATCTGAGACCTATGCTATTGCCTACAAATAGCATGATAGGTGACCTTTAACATGATTACAGTCCTTTCAAAATAAATGTCCCGTCGATCCGACCTGACCTCCAGACTTCATCTCTCTGTATACTCGCTGGTTCACAATAACGTGGAATACATACGGATTGGTTTTGTGGGATGTACACATGTGGAAGTGCTACGAAAATGGCGTTGTGTGTCTCTTTGTATCTGTCTTTGGGTCTTTTTGTAGTGGTTTTGAATCTCGTATCCAAACATAGCCTCAAATCATTTCCAAAGTTATTCCTAATTTGTTGAGCGTTTTCCAACAAATGTCCACCAACACGAGCCATATAACATGCTTACAGTCCTTTCAAAATAAACCTCCTCTTTACAGAAAAATAAGAACTTGGTGAGCTGCAGTTTGGGTTTAAATAACTACAAATGTTGCGTTACTCAAATACATGACAAATAAATACAAATCAGGTTTCACACGGGACACTAACAGCCGTCTCTTAAATAAGAGCTCTAGGCTTCAAGTCTCTTTATACTCACTGGTTCACAATAAAGTGGAATACATATGGATTGATTCTGTGGATTTTCACTAAACTAAAGCGCTACGACAATGGCGCGGTGTCTCTTTGTTGTTGTTATGAATCTATTTTCCAAACATACCCTCAAATAGAAAAGTACTTCCACATTTTTGGAGCATTTTCCAACAAATGTCCACCAACACGAGCCAACTACTGCTTACAGTCCTTTCAAAATAAACGTCCTCTTCACAGGAAAGAAGAACTTGGTTAGCTTTAGCAGAAGACTGTGGTTTGGGTTTCAATGACTACCAATGTGGCGTTACTGAAATACAGAAGACGACACATTAAAATCAGGTTTCACACGGGACACTAACAGCCGTTTCTTGAGTAAGAGTCAGGTGTTTTTAGACCCATCGATCCCACCTGACCTCTAGACTCCATCTCCCTGTATACACGCTGGTTGTTCATTCTGTGTTGTGTGTCTTTGTGGTCTTTTTGTGTCTCGTCCAGCTGCATCTGACCACCTGACCCCTGAGGCCTCCAGAAATGTAATTACCCATCCTCTACCCTAACATATGCAGTAAACATAATACAAATCTCACATATCCGGGACCATGAAAACATCTGATCAGCACCGAGAGATGACACAGTCTCTTTCCAGCCATCTACATGAATAGCAACTTCACACACACACACACACACACACACACACACTGACACACACACACACCTCCTCCTCTACATTGCAGTCTTCAACTGTGCGATGGGGTCTTCACGTCACAAGCCTCCCCTCCCTCCCCCCTGCACAGCCTCCATATATATCCCATTATGATAATAAAATAACACACACACACACACACACACACACATACACACACACACACACACACACACACACACACACACACACACACACACACACACATCTTACCCATCTGTGCCTGTGTCGGATGTCTTTCAGAGGTTCATGGTGGAGGATCCGGGTGGAGCTGCTCGTGTTTCTGCTCGTGTTTCTGCCGCTAAGCCATAATGCTGGTGATGCCGGGGGTCTTTTCGGGGTCTTTTCGGGGTCTTTTCGGTGTCCTCGCGGTGTGTTTTGAGGACCAGCAGAGGGTCTGCACGGTGCTGTTTCACCCCCAGGATCGGGACCTGCAGTGGGATGTCTCTCCTCCTCTCTCTCCCTCCTCCTCCTCCTCCTCCCTTCAATCCGACCGCGACAGAAAGCGGAAACGCGTCGTGCGTCAAAGGGATGGAGATGGAGACGTTAGAGATGGAGGGGCTCGGTTCGATCGGTGCTTTTCTCCCGTGTTTCGGTCGTGTTTACGAGCTGCTGCCTGTCGCCTCCCTCTCTCTCTCTCTCTCTCCCTCTCTCTATCTCGCTCTCTCTCTCTGCGTGATGCCCCCCCTCTTTCTCTTCCTCTGTGACGCCTTTTCCGCTCCGAGCAAAAATAAGACCCCCCCTTTATTCCCTGATCTCTCCTTCACTGCTTCTTCCTCATCATCCTCCCCTCTCTCCCTTTTGATCAGACACAGCGAGCAAGCGTGTGTGCGTGTGTGTGTGTGTGTGTGTGTGTGAGAGAGAGAGAGGGGCGGAGCCTCGCTAACTCCTCCCCGTTATGCTGCTTATCAGAGGAGAACAGGGGAGATAGAGGGAGGAAATATGAGAGCGGACGAGGGTGGGGGGTCTTTATAAAACGTGTTACAATATGATTTCATGCACTAACCCAGTTTGAGATACTGCACATTACTGCATGTCTGTATTTAGTTTTGCATGCAAGAAATATGTAGAGACAAAAGTGCTATTTTGAGATAAAGGGGGTGGGGGGGTACAAATTGGGAAGTGTAGCCTGAGGGGGGCGCCAAAGAATCTGGTTTTCATCATTGATATCCTCATTTATAATATCTATACACTATTGTATTTATTGTACTATTTGTTGTTATATGTTCCTAAATTAACATATTCTAATTATATTTTCTTGTTTTATGTACTACAGCATATTATGACTGTGACTGTGTGTGTGACTGTGTGTGTGTGTGTGTGTGTGTGTGTGTGTGTGTGTGTGTGTGTGTGTGTGTGTGTGTGTGTGTGTGTGTGTGTGTGTGTGTGTGTGTGTGTGTGTGTGAATAAAAAAAACCTCATTCCCCTCTAGATAATATAGTGATGATCATCTTTAACAAAGAAGGGTTTAAGAGGTATCTTTGTATAAAATCTGTTCCCCCATAGTAACTCTATACCGGATGCTCAAAACTGATAATAATACATTTCATTTATATAGACCACTTTAAAAACAACGTCATCTAAAGGTGCTTACTACTTTATTTCAAAATGAAAGCCCCAGAAAGTAGTTGTATTTTAGGGAGGGAGCATTTGTCCCTTTCTCATAACATAGTATTTTGACGAACTGAGAAGAAGGGTTTTTTATAGGTTGTTTCATTCAAAATCAGCTGTCAATTGCCCCCTATAATGAAACTCTAATATCTAAGCTTTTAGAGTGTAAGTGTATCTTCAGAGGAGGAGGGAAGCGTGGAGCTTTGAGAGGACGTTTTTGACGATGTTGAAACACCATTTGAAAGAAGAACTCACCAAATACCAAATGTGATGATAATACATCCAATAATCAGAGGCAGGTCAATCAAAATGAATATATCACCTAGAGCTGTACACTCTTCCTTATTGGTTTAATCAATTAACTAATATAACACACAATATGACGTTATTTAAATGGTCCGACGTTACGTAAAGTCGGTAAAAATCCTACATTTAAAAAGCAGTGTGAGTGCAATATGAAGTAAACCCGTGATCTCCTTCCAGTTGAGGTCATTGATGCATCACTTTAAAAATCAATACTTCATCAAGCCACTCATTACACTGGTGTGTCTACTGGGATATTACCAGTAATGTTGGGCTAATAAAAACAGATCTCACTGATGAATTATGCAGAATAAACTCCTGACTGCACTTACTGTATGTTTGCATTGTTAGGAAGCTAAAGTGTTCCTGTTCAAGCACTCCTTCCCTTTGTTACTGAATATCTGATACAGAGAAACACGTGTAATACATGTTTGTGTTACATTAGCTGCAGGTATGTAAACACCCACACACAGAGACACACACCCTTATGTGTCAGCCTTAGTGTTGGCACAGGGTTTTCATTCCTGTTTCTTCATACTTTCATTTTACTTTACTTAGTGTGTAGTGTCTCTACTTTAAAGAGTCCTCTCCTGCTGATGTTCAGGTGTATATCAGTATGTAGTGTCTCTACTTTAAAGAGTCCTCTCCTGCTGATGTTCAGGTGTATATCAGTATGTAGTGTCTCTACTTTAAAGAGTCCTCTCCTGCTGATGTTCAGGTGTATATCAGTATGTAGTGTCTCTACTTTAAAGAGTCCTCTCCTGCTGATGTTCAGGTGTATATCAGTATGTAGTGTCTCTACTTTAAAGAGTCCTCTCCTGCTGATGTTCAGGTGTATATCAGTATGTAGTGTCTCTACTTTAAAGAGTCCTCTCCTGCTGATGTTCAGGTGTATATCAGTATGTAGTGTCTCTACTTTAAAGAGTCCTCTCCTGCTGATGTTCAGGTGTATATTAGTATGTAGTGTCTCTACTTTAAAGAGTCCTCTCCTGCTGATGTTCAGGTGTATATCAGTGTGTAGTGTCTCTACTTTAAAGAGTCCTCTCCTGCTGATGTTCAGGTGTATCTCAGTATGTAGTGTCTCTACTTTAAAGAGTCCTCTCCTGCTGATGTTCAGGTGTATATCAGTATGTAGTGTCTCTACTTTAAAGAGTCCTCTCCTGCTGATGTTCAGGTGTATATCAGTATGTAGTGTCTCTACTTTAAAGAGTCCTTTGCTGCTGATGTTCAGGTGTATATCAGTATGTAATGTCTCTACTTTAAAGAGTCCTCTCCTGCTGATGTTCAGGTGTATATCAGTATGTAGTGTCTCTACTTTAAAGAGTCCTCTCCTGCTGATGTTCAGGTGTATATCAGTATGTAGTGTCTCTACTTTAAAGAGTCCTCTCCTGCTGATGTTCAGGTGTATATCAGTGTGTAGTGTCTCTACTTTAAAGAGTCCTCTCCTGCTGATGTTCAGGTGTATATCAGTATGTAGTGTCTCTACTTTAAAGAGTACTCTCCTCCTGATGTTCAGGTGTATATCAGTATGTAGTGTCTCTACTTTAAAGAGTCCTCTCCTCCTGATGTTCAGGTGTAAAATGGGTAAAACATTTCCAATTGGAGTCCAATTCAGTAGGTCATTAAGAGCTGCAGTTGCCAAATAAAACCTCTACTAGTGCACAAATTAAGGTTTAATTCACTTCATTACATCAGCTATTATTATCATCTCTCAGCCTGAATACATCAAAGCCAGAGTAAATACCAACGGGAGAAACCTGTATGCTACAAAAAAGGTCAAACATAAAACGATTATCGAAGACCACCAGCTTCTGTCTCCACGTATGAAACCCTAACTCCTCAAAAGCCCAGAAGAAAATGGAAAATTCGTCCAGTTTTCAACATGAATCTCATTTTCCAGGAAGTGTGCACCACACACACACACACACACACACACACACACACACACACACACACACACACACACACACACACACACACACACACACACACACACACACACACACACACACACACACACACACACACACACACACACACACACACACACACACACACACACAGAATGTAAAATATTCAGCTAAAGAGCCTTCTCTGATCACACTGAAGATAAGAAGGACTTTTATCCGAGTCCAGACCATCTGAACCGGTGCTGTCGGCGTCAGATTTCAACTCAACGACCACCGAGCTTCCCTCAGATAAAATTCCAGAGTGATGGGAGAGAAACGTGGAGACAGACTCAAGGCAAGGTTAAAGAGATGCTGTGAGGATAAAAGGCAAGGAGACGAAACCAAACCATGGATCAAAAAGAGAACTGGATACAGCGTTGGACGCGGGACCCCGATTATTACTATGCTCAGTGCTTGTGGCCCAAAAAGCTTGACTTCCAGGTAAGAAATGACCTGTAAATTCTGAATATATGACACCATAGAGTGAGTAAGCACACTAGTGTTTATTTCAACAATCAAACTTCTTATTCAGTTAAGTTGCTAACAAGAGTCTAAATGAGACGACTAAACGTCAGCAAGAGATGGGGTTGTTACTAAAAAAAAAGTAATATATTACACTACTTCGTTACTCTCTACATAAAGTAACTCGTTACTTTACTCGTTACTTTACTCGTTACTTTACTGGCAGGGCCGGCCCGCCCCTCCCTACAGGCAGATCACGCAGACTGCTAAAGTTTCAAATGTTCTCTTTAGTTCAGTTTCCATTGTCGCATAAGACTGATCCAGATAGCTCTGACTATGGCTGTCCTCTGTCTCCTGCTATCTGTATTTTGCGCAGTATATCTCTGAACGATGCGATGGTGATTCCACTGTGCAAATGGGCAACATTACCTCTACTATGAAGGATGCTACAAGCCTGTCCATCTCTGCTTTGGTTACCGGTAATTTTTGCTGCTTCGGAGTCGGCGGCGGCGCACTCACAACATCCTCACTCTGGGTTTGGGGGTCCTTAGCTATTAGCTTCACCTTAGCATGTGTTCTTTGCAGGTGTTTGTTGAGGTTTGACGTGGTGTTTGCAGCAGTGGATAACAGCTTCTGGCCTGGACACAGTTTGCACCTCACCGTCACATTCCTGTCTATTCTTCGGACGAACTCAAAATAATGGGCATACCTCCACCCCTCGAAAGTTATCGCTGACTCTGCCATGTTTATGCAGCACTGCACGTGGAAATGTGGACGCGCAAGTCACGCAGATTACGTACATATAAACCTGCGGCGGAAACCCCTCTTGTCTGTCTGTGATTATGACTGATTTTATAAAAGTAACGAAGTAACGCGTGTCGGGGCAATGTTAGTAACTGTAGTGTGATTACTGAATTATAAAAGTAACGCGTTACACTACTCCGTTACCGACAAAAGTAATATTATTACAGTAACGCATTACTTTGTAACGCGTTACACCCAACTCTGACGTCAGCAAGCTCAACATTAGCTTAGCGGTGGTGACGTGAAGTCATGTGACCGTGCTGTAGTTCCTTTATGCCCCAACATTAGCCGCCTTTAGCTTAGCGGTGGTGACGTGAAGTCATGTGACCGTGCTGTAGTTCCTTTATAGCCCAACATTAGCCGCCTTTAGCTTAGCGGTGGTGACGTGAAGTCATGTGACCGTGCTGTAGTTCCTTTATAGCCCAACATTAGCCTCCTTTAGCTTAGCGGTGGTGACGTGAAGTCATGTGACCGTGCTGTAGTTCCTTTATGCCCCAACATTAGCCTCCTTTAGCTTAGCGGTGGTGACGTGAAGTCACGTGACCGTGCTGTAGTTCATTTATAGCCCAACATTAGCCTCCTTTCGCTTAGCGGTGGTGACGTGAAGTCATGTGACCGTGCTATAGTTCCTTTATAGCCCAACATTAGCCGCCTTTAGCTTAGCGGTGGTGACGTGAAGTCATGTGACCGTGCTGTAGTTCCTTTATGCCCCAACATTAGCCGCCTTTAGCTTAGCGGTGGTGACGTGAAGTCATGTGACTGTGCTGTAGTTCCTTTATGCCCCAACATTAGCCGCCTTTAGCTTAGCGGTGGTGACGTGAAGTCATGTGACCGTGCTGTAGTTCCTTTATAGCCCAACATTAGCCACCTTTAGCTTAGCGGTGGTGACGTGAAGTCATGTGACCGTGCTGTAGTTCCTTTATGCCCCAACATTAGCCGCCTTTAGCTTAGCGGTGGTGACGTGAAGTCATGTGACCGTGCTGTAGTTCCTCTATAGCCCAACATTAGCCACCTTTAGCTTAGCGGTGGTGACGTGAAGTCATGTGACCGTGCTGTAGTTCCTCTATAGGCTAACGTTAGCGTTTTACTTCAGAAATCATAAAGTGATGTCAATGGAGATTATCCTCCTGAACTAAATGTGTAAATACCAACATCTGACCAATGCGGCCATTTGATTTACTTGCAGTTAGATAAGACCAATATTACGCTATCAATTTATACCGCCACAAAATGGCTAGCTCAAGTTAGCATTAAGAAAATAAGCAGCCTAACTCCATCCTAAATCTACAAAATTATAAAAATCCACCCAATATAGCACCTTTAGAAAGGAAATCATGTCCAAATGAGAAACAAAACACCTTTTCTGTTATTGTGCTAAAATAAGCTAACTGCCTTCCCTACATGAATATATATGAAATGTTATTTGCCTAAAAAAGCTCATCTGTGTTTCCCAAAAGACTTCCTTTAACACAATGCTTCACTTTCTTATCAAATCTCTTATTTATCAAACAGTTCCCATGACCTTTGCTGTACATTCAAAGGGTGAGAGATTATTGCTAATATGCATGTATTATTTCCTGTTGGTGTTTTTGCAAGACGATACTTTAATACATCTCAAAGCTCATGTAAGGAAGCTGCAGGTGAACAAATGTCTGGACAAAAAACAAAACAATTACTTCGTAAGAGAAATTACTCATTACAGCTCCTTAAATAAACAAATCTTTCCGGTTTGATCTCACACACACACACACACAGACATATACATTTCTTTCCACAAGCATAAGTGATAATAACTTGTGGACTTACCTTTAAATCCGTCTCATGTTCTCCCCTGATCCTCCCAGGTGAGAAGCAGCAGGTGTGTGTGGGCTGAAACAACAACTCACCTGTGTGAACCTGAACACACCCTCCTGCTGAGATTGGTTACTCTTTAACTCTGATCCAATTCATCATTAGCAGAGGTGGGAAGTAGTGGAGTACAAATACTTTGTTACTGTACTTAAGTTCATTTTTCTGGTACCAGTACTTTACTCCACTACTTATTTTTCTGACGACTTTGACTTCTTACATTTTGAACCCAAATACCTGTACTTTCTACTTCTTACATGTTGAACACAAATACCTGTACTTTCTACTTCTTACATGTTGAACACTAATACCTGTACTTTCTACTTCTTACATGTTGAACTCAAATACCTGTACTTTCTACTTCTTACATGTTGAACACTAATACCTGTACTTTCTACTTCTTACATGTTGAACACTAATACCTGTACTTTCTACTTCTTACATGTTGAACCCAAATACCTGTACTTTCTACTTCTTACATGTTGAACACTAATACCTGTACTTTCTACTTCTTACATGTTGAACTCAAATACCTGTACTTTCTACTTCTTACATGTTGAACACAAATACCTGTACTTTCTACTTCTTACATGTTGAACACAAATACCTGTACTTTCTACTTCTTACATGTTGAACACAAATACCTGTACTTTCTACTTCTTACATGTTGAACACAAATACCTGAACTTTCTACTTCTTACATGTTGAACACAAATACCTGTACTTTCTACTTCTCACATGTTGAACACAAATACCTGTACTTTCTACTTCTTACATGTTGAACCCAAATACCTGTACTTTCTACTTCTTACATGTTGAACCCAAATACCTGTACTTTCTACTTCTCACATTTCCCAAACAGGCTGGTTCCTTTAGTTTGAATGTGTGTTTGGTGGCGTGATCATTATTATTTAGAGTCATTGCGTGCCTATTGATTTGAACACGATCCGTGTATCCATCATTTCCTGGTCTTCTCTAAAGAAGAGGGACCAATGAAAACGTTGTCATGTTGCCGTTGTTCAGCATGGAAACATTCATTAGCTAACAATGACATTATTGTTCTATTAATATAAAGGGAGGTCAGGTACTCTTTAAAACAGCTGCTAGTTATGGGTACTTTTTACTGAAGTACATTTCAAAGCCCTCTTTACTTTGACTTGAGTAAAGAAGTTTAGTCAGTACTTCTACTTTTACCAGAGTATTTTCAAACACGAGTATCTGTACTTCTACTTGAGTAAAGGATGTGTGTACTTTTGCCCTCTCTGATCATAATACATATTATTTTCAAGCGTTTGCGCATTGTCGACAGCTCTATTAAAAACCTTAAGTCTAACAGACGAAAATAAATCAGTTTTAAAGCTTTCAATGAGGTAACAAGGATATCAATGTTGGTTACTCTTTAACTCTGATCCAATGAATCATAATAAAGGAAGATGTCAGATTTCACCCAGCGACAGTCTGCTTCCTTCTTGTTTTGATCTGAAAGTGATTACTCTGCAGGAGGAGAAGGATTTGCATGGCGTTGCACAACATTTCTCAGTGTCATGGTGAATAATCCTGCGAGCATCAGGTTACAGGATCAGCCGTTTGTGCTGCTAAAAGTCAAACACAGCGAGAACATGAAGAGACCGGTTGGTGTTGGAAGATATATTCTGTGATGGATTCATGTAGCTCCACATTGCCCTCTGATGGACTGACACACTACAAACCAAGGCAGAGGAGAGAACATGTGGGCTGGGCTCCTCTGTCAGAGAAAGAGGAATAATGTTTGATCACAAGTTACAAATCCTAGTATTTACTTGTATTTCGTTGGAGATAAAGGGAATACACTTTGGTGATAAGAAAACAGTGGTGGAAAGTAACTCTGTACGTTTACTCAAGTACTGTACTGAAGTACAAGTCTTTTCTACTGTCTGAGTACTTCTACTTTTACTCAAGTACAAGATCTGAGTACTTCTACTTTTACTCAAGTACAAGATCTGAGTACTTCTACCTTTACTCAAGTACTGTACTGAAGTACAAGTCTTTTCTACTGTCTGAGTACTTCTACTTTTACTCAAGTACAAGATCTGAGTACTTCTACTTTTACTCAAGTACAATATCTGAGTACTTCTACTTTTACTAAAGTACAATATCTGAGTACTTCTACTCAAGTACAATATCTGAGTACTTCTACTTTTACTCAAGTACAAGATCTGAGTACTTCTACTTTTACTAAAGTACAATATCTGAGTACTTCTACTCAAGTACAAGATCTGAGTACTTCTACTTTTACTCAAGTACAAGATCTGAGTACTTCTACTTTTACTCAAGTACAATATCTGAGTACTTCTACTATTACTCAAGTACAAGATCTGAGTACTTCTACTTTTACTGAAGTACAATACCTGAGTACTTCTACTTTGTGTGTAGTATTCATACACAGAGCCTTTTCTATAAACTAAGTGAAGAAGTGCTTCATTCGTCTAAAACATGCAATTTGCAGGCGTTTATGGCATTCATGACGACAGCTCTATTAAAATCCTAAACTCCAACGGAGCAGAAGAAAACCGTTTTAAAGCTTCAAAGGAGGTCAAGAGGACGCACCTGATGCACCTGCTGCACGTTACTGTCTAGTATCTGCACCTCAACACCTCTTTACCATCAGATTAGAAAGGGAGTGTTTTAAGTCAAGCACAACATGTGTTTTTGGAAAGAGGCTCTCACTGGTGTTGCAAAATGACTCCAGAGCGTTGTTTATATAAATATATCTTGTTATAAATAAGACGCGTTCATTAAAAAAGCTCCAGGCATGACTCTTCTTTAATGCGGTGCAATGAAAGAGACACTTCTCTAAACTATTATTAAAACATAAATGTAACAATTTGGTGAAAATCAAGACATAAAACTGGCATTTTTCACAAGTTCTCAGTAACAACGAGGCTATTGATCTTTTTGGGATAAACTTTCATTACAAATAAAAAAGTACTTTTGAAACACATCCATAGAGTCCTTATAAGGCCTTACAGTACATTGTGTCATCGGATTACTTTTTGCAGATACATGTTCATGTTTACAATCTGGAGTTTTCACGATCACTAATAACCGGCATCTAAAACTGACACATATTTATTCACCAGTTCCTCCCAGTCTCATGGTGGTTATTGGCCCACTGGTTCGATGTGTCCTCGTGCACTTTAGTCCTTTACAATCCACGTGCCAGGAAGCCGTTTCTTTGCATCTTGTTTCCTCCGAGTCCTCCTCACGGTAAAACCAATTAACGCTCCACGCACACGCAATATTCAACGTAACATGTTTTAAAATGGTATATAAAAAAAAAGGGGGAAATGGCTTGAATTGCTTTGAGTTTCTTGATAGAGAGGTGCAGGAATGAGTCCTAAAACATCGGAATTAGTCCGTTTTTTTAGCAATTTTGGTTTGCTTATCACAAAGTCAATGGGTTTCTGGATGTGTTTTTGGTTAGAAGCCTCAAATAATATCTTAAAAAACGGGACGACGAAGAAATACCACATCCTGCACCTCTCTATTAAGTGTGATGAATACAAAATCTGAAGTGAGAATGAGAAATGTTCCGTTGCATCTCCTTCCCGTTAGGACAGTTATTTTGTACACATTAAAAGCGTTTCATCGCTCATCCCAACCCCCGCTTTAAAGTCTTTTATTCAATCCGTGTCCCCGAGAACACAGTCTGTCTCTTTGTTTCTGGTTTCCTCCGAGTCCTCCTCACGGTGAAACTAATCAACGCTCGACGAACCGAGATATTTTACATATTATTCAACGGTACATCTTTTAAAAAGGTATTAAAAAAAAAAAGGGGGAAATGGCTTAAATTGCTTTGAGTTTCTTCCACGCATGTTGGTGACTGATAGAGAGGTGCAGGAATGAGTCCTAAAACATCGGAATTAGTCCGTTTTTTTAGCAATTTTGGTTCGCTTATCACAAAGTCAATGGGCTTCTGGATGTGTTTTTGGTTAGAAGCCTCAAATAATGTCTTAAAAAACGGGACGACGAAGAAATACCACATCGTGCACCTCTCTATTAAGTGTGATGAATACAAAATCTGAAGTGAGAATGAGAAATGTTGCATCTCCTTCCCGTTAGGACAGTTATTTTAAACATTAAAAGCGTTTCGTCGCTCATCCCAACTCTGAAGTCTGTCTCTTTGTATCTCCCCTCTTCTTCCACCTCTTACTCTTCATCCCCTTCTTCCTCAGGACACTTATTTGTGAGACGGGGAGAGTTCCTCCGTACATTAGAAAAACATTAACATTAAAAGCATATTCATCGTTCATCCCAACCCCCGCTTTAAAATATTAGTCTTTTTTTTCAATCTGTGTCCCAGAGAACAGTCCCCTCTTCTTCCTCCTCTTCCTCACTGGGGTCCCAGTCCCCCCCCCTCGCTGTGGTCGCTCCCCCACAGCCGGTAGAACTGGGTGAAGTCGATGTACGGAGGGACCCTCCCCGTCTCATCGGGCTGAGCCGCCTGACTGCCTCTCTGCCGGAAGAGGCTGCCGTCCCCCGAGCTGGAGCTGGAGCTCTGGGTCTGAGTGTTGGTGGACTGGAGGGTGGCTGTGGGACTCTGACTGCTGGGGAGGAAGAGGAGGGAGGAAGAGGAGGGGAGAGGGAGAGGAGGAGGAGGAGGAGGAGGAGGGGGGGAGGTGGGGAAGGAGAACAGGGAGGTGGAGATGGGGAGAGGAGAGAAGACAGGGGAGAAAGGGAGTTCAATTATAGGCTGTAGGATGTCAACAGAGGTGTGAAGGGTGGGGGGGGGGAACGAGCTGGAGGAGGAAGGACGGAGAGGAAGTGGAGACGATATGAAGACAAGAGGAGAACCAGGAGGACAACGGAGGGAGAAGTCGTGGAAAACGGGAGATGGTGAGGAGAAGGGAAACATTTGAGATCAGGAATTGAGACAGTAGAAAAAAGGAGAGGAAAACAGAGGAAAAATGGAAAAGATGCCGGAGAGGATAACGGAGAGGTAAGAGGATAACGGAGAGGTAAGAGGATAACGGAGAGGAGAGGACACACGGGAACAAGAGGAACAGATGTGAGTCGGACAGAAACACGACGGAGAGAAAGAGAAGTGATCTGTGTGGACGAAGAGCAAAGTGCAAAACAAAAGGGTGCTCCAGCAGCTTAATGAAGGTTCGGTTCAAGCTCCTTGAAAGCCACTCTGAACACAAGACAAACGCTTCAATGGAAAGAAACCAAAGACACCACATTAGTTACCCTGCCAAAGAGCAAGAATACACATTGCCTGTTAAGCTGTTTCTGACATGCTGCTAATCGTGGATGGAGAGGCATTTGCACTTATTGCTCACTTTGTCATTCTGTAAATCAAGGCGAGACACTACAGGTGAATAGGGTACTTTTTTAACTTAAAGATATCAGCTAGAAATGTCTCCAGTTAATTACTTTCATTAAGTCAATTGTTTTTTGTATTACAAGTTTTATGAAATAGCACGTTTAAATATGCAAATGAGGCATTGTCTAATTAGATATGCGCATATTTTAATACATTTCAGGAACACATATCTGAACATTGGATAAAGCCAGGTTCAAAATGCTTGTTTCCTTTTGTAGTCATATTAGAATCTAACGTTTCTACAGAAGGGATTTTGGATATCTCTTTGTATCACTCTGTCAACAGCCCTAAAATATCCATTTTCGCCATGTTTTTAGGTATAAAATGTTATATAATTCAGGCTATGAAGGATATATGAACAAACCCTTCTGTAAAAGCCTTCATAATATTGATAGGAATATAACTGGAAGGTTTGGTGTATGTAAGTGCTACTGAAGTGGACATCTCTCACTCAGACTATGAGAAAAAACTCATTTTGAGAAAACGACCTTTAAAGATTGCTGTGAGGCGCTACCCTCCTGTTCTCTGGATGACAGCTTGCGTTTTTTGATTTAAGACCCCTTTGTGCTTTCACGATTGGTTGCTGATAGAAAGGAAATGACCATATTTGGATCCGATGAGATTGTGCAGGAGAGACAGAGCTTTCCAAACGATATTTCTGATGACATGGTGCAAACAGCGGTCGCAGTACTTTATGTTACGTTAGAAAGCTAACTTTTGGTGAATTTAGGAGAAATCTACAGACGCAAATAGACAGACTATACTCAAATGTGTATTTTGTAAGTTTTCCTTCCAAAAGCCTGAAAGAAAACATGTTATGGAATCAAAATAACACAAAATCTCCAAATTGACCAGTTCATGAAAAACCATGTTTTTGCCGAGTCTCGCCTTAAAACGGATATTTTGAGATTTACACGAAAAACCAAAGTCAGAAAAATGTAGGAAAATCCTTCTTCCCATGTTCTAACAACATTTTAATATGAACACTTTAAAAAAAAAAAAAAATGCAATGCCTTTCTGAGACAGAGAAACTCTCTCTGGAGAGATTTGACCCTTTGCAGACCATTTACATGCACTAAAACCCATAAAAACACACTACAGGGCGGAGAAAACCCCCCCAACAAACATCCCAGAGCCCCTTTAAACTACATTTCACATTGTGTGTAAGAAAACCCCGTCCTTTTGACTCGGAAATTATCCTTTTTTTAGACGCAATAAAAGGGAATTATGTTGCTGTTCTGAAAAAATAAGCATTAATGATTGCCACCGTGAGCAGCATCTGATACGATCCGGACCCAAATCAAAGTTAAATGGCTCCCCGGGGGGTATACAGATTTAATTGAAGCCATATGCTAACATTACAGTGTGTGGAGTACGATATTAGAATATTCTATCAGCTGGAGATCGGCAGGAAACACAACGGGAGAGCGAAAAACGCTGCCTAGGCATAAATACACACTCACCTAACATAAATACAGCCAGAATAAACTCTACAGACGGGGGAGAACTAAACTCACAACAGCAGAGAAGAGGGAAGCCAGGACTTAAAGCTAAACTACAGGAGCCTGAAGGGTCAAAAAGGAGACAAAGATCTGTGCAGCTTTTGGAGACGTCGGAACAATTCCAAACCGCCCCCTACACCCTTTTGTATTTTAAATGTGAAGTACATTGGCTTCAAGCTGAGAGAAGTTCTCTGTGGTCAGAATCACAGTGTAGCATTGATTAATAATTGCATTTCTTTTTACAGTTTTGCAGCAGTCTATTGACGGGACGTGTATTATTTGAGATAGCTTACTTTTAAGAAATATAAAATCGACATGAAAACTCCAAGAGCGTAAAAAAGTTCAAATCAAAATGTGGCTGATTTCGAGCATGCAATGGAGTGAAAGTCAAGCTATATAACAGCAGAAATAGGAGTACAAGGAGACCAGGAGTAAACAAACAAGCTTACCCTGGGGTGGGGGTGCCCTCCTCCAGCGTGGAGGCGGTGTTGGTGCCGTTGGTGAGAGTATTCTGGGATGGCATGACGAGTGAGAGCATGACGCTGGTCTTACTGGTGCTCAGACTGTTGGAGTACGGCACGGACACCGGGTAGATACGCCCACCTGAGGGGAGGACACGTGAAATCATTAAAGGTCTCCGATCATGCAAAATGCACTTTCTGATGTCTTTTCTACATCAATATGTGTCCCCGGTGTGTCCCAGTGTGTCCCCGGTGTGTCCCGGTGTGTCCCAGTGTGTCCCGGTGTGTCCCGGTGTGTCCCCGGTGTGTCCCAGTGTGTCCCCGGTGTGTCCCAGTGTGTCCCGGTGTGTCCCGGTGTGTCCCCGGTGTGTCCCCGGTGTGTCCCGGTGTGTCCCAGTGTGTCCCGGTGTGTCCCGGTGTGTCCCGGTGTGTCCCCGGTGTGTCCCGGTGTGTCCCGGTGTGTCCCGGTGTGTCCCGGTGTGTCCCAGTGTGTCCCAGTGTGTCCCAGTGTGTCCCAGTGTGTCCCCGGTGTGTCCCGGTGTGTCCCCGGTGTGTCCCAGTGTGTCCCGGTGTGTCCCCGGTGTGTCCCCGGTGTGTCCCCGGTGTGTGTCCCCGGTGTGTGTCCCCGGTGTGTGTCCCCGGTGTGTGTCCCCGGTGTGTCCCCGGTGTGTCCCCGGTGTGTCCCAGTGTGTCCCAGTGTGTCCCCGGTGTGTCCCCGGTGTGTGTCCCCGGTGTGTGTCCCCGGTGTGTCTCCGGTGTGTCCCCGGTGTGTCCCCGGTGTGTCCCCGGTGTGTCCCCGTGTGTCCCCGGTGTGTCCCCCGTGTGTCAGGAGACTCACAACGTGTCAGAAAACAAAACCCTCTCTCTTTTCCTCCGTACCCACATCTCTAAAAACGGGGGAACAACGGAGCTGATCCAGATTTGCGTCCGATATGAAGTAATATTGGAAATGTGGGCGGGCTTTACACCCACGGGCCAATCAGAAACGTTGCCATCAGAATCAATGCGCGACGTGTTTTGGACGTAATATGGTCTTTGTTTACATTAGCATCGCTAACACTAAGAGCTAACCTGTACTGGATAGCAGCGTTTGCGCCAGGGGGGCGTCTTGCCGTCATTTGACCCTGAACTCGAGACGAGGGCGTCCAAAGAAATAAATAATTTGAGAGAAGATCGAGTTTTTATCGCTTGAAATGACGAAAAGGAAAAAGGACAAGGACATCCCTCTGTTGGAGGGGCAAAGGAGTCTGGTGGGATTATTTTCGCCGCCAGCAAAGTGTGTTCCTGTGACGAAAAAATAAATCAAAAGGAACTCACCTTGTGGTAAACCTGAGAGAGAAAGAGTTTGAGCTCCATACTGTTTCAGAGAGAATCCTTGATGTGGTTTGGAACATGATCTGACATGATATCTGTTTGGTATTTAGAGCAAAACACATAGTAGACATGTTTTCTATATACTTTTATATATCTGGGACCCATAAAATATGCCAGGAAACAGCATAATGGGAGACCTTTAAGATGGACTAGTGATTATAGCTCCTTCTGTACATTCTTGTTGATGTATTGTGATTTTAAAAAGGTGTCTATTATCATCTGGACAACAGCTGGAAATGAGCAATGGACTGTCTATTTTTGTGACAGTCGATTAATGGGGACTGTCCACGACACTATAAACAAATAGTATACACTAAATTAGTATATGTTCCTATTCTGAGTGGGGGGGGTTTCCTCACACATTTTTAGTAATGTCGTCATGACGCAGCAAATCTGGATCAGCTCCGTTGTTCCCCCGTTTTTAGAGATGTGGGTACGGAGGAAAAGAGAGAGGGGTTCATTTCCTGACACTTTGTCAAAGTCAACTTTATTGTCAATCTTTCAGTTTGTGTGTTCAGTCAGAGAGATGGAAATACCGTTTCTCACAATCCAGAATACAAAAATACAAATATATATATATAGAAATATGTATATCATTAAATATGTGTGAGTCTCCTGACACACCGGGGACACATAATTATGTATAAAAGACTTCAAAAAGTGCATTTTGCTAAAACTAGTTGACCTTAAAGTGGACCTATCATGCTACATTTGAATAATATAGTCTAGGACCATACCTATATAAGGCATATTTATACTTTTTCTTTTTCAAAATACCAAACAGATCATGCATTTTAGTCATGCCTCATTTTGCTCAATTTGACATTTTTTAGCTCTGGGCTGATTCAGTGAGAACAGCACCACCTACAGGCCTGGCATATGTACTACAGCGTCTCCAGCGCTTTCGAACGGCAATGGCCGTGGCTGTCTCCTCCTGATTGGTGGAGTTGGCCCAATAGCCGTAGCGCCACCGTCCTGACGTCAGGACAGTGTTCAAATCTGGATCAGTTTTTATCAGATCCGTTGCAGCCCCTTTTTTAGAGATTTGGGTATGGAGGAAAATAGAGAGGGTTGTGTTTTCTGACACTTGGTGAGTTCCCTGGAACACCGGGGACACATATTCATGTAGAAAAGACGTACAAAAGTGCATTTTGCATGATAGGTCCCCTTTAAGTGATGATGAAGTGATTCGGTAAAAACTACCTTCTCAAAGATATTGAATTGACTGTT